AAAAAAAAAAAAAAAAAAAATAAACATTTTAATTGGAGGTTCCTCATGAACAAAGGATCTCTTTTTTTTACTTTTAAAAATGTAATTGATACATAAATTACTGTAAAAATTAAATACTGGAGTTATAACCATCTATTATGAATACATATGAGAAAATCTACAATAATACCTTCTTTTTGTCCCCAATTTTCAATTAAAACATTTTTTTCAGATATACCCTCGAGATAAGGCTTGTATTGTTATGCACTATGAAGCAAAAATTATGAACACGGGTTTTGGTGGAGGTGACACCCTTTTTCCGCCATTTACATGATAAAGTGTTATCGATACAGATAATATTTATGGATATATGAATACATGTAAATAACGGAAAAACGGTGTTACCTTTATTGAAACCCATATTCATGATTTTCCCCTTATAATGTATATTAAGTAGAGCAAGTAAAATAAGTTTAATTTGAAAGGTAAGACTCAACAAAAAAGAAATTTAATGAAAATTAGAGACAAAAACCAGATATTTTTGTAGATTTCGTCGTATACGGTCTACCCCAGTACTTTACTTTTCCATTAATTTATGTATTAATTACAATTTTTAAAATATAAAAAAGTATCCTTTGTTTATGAGGAATCTCTAATTAAAATGTATGTTTTTTTTTTTTGGTACATTGAACTTGATAAACACTAAGAAAATAAGTTTTCTCTTTAGAGATGGAAATTGCGATAATTTCGTGCATAAGTAAGTATTTATCTTGTTTATGTCTGTTATATTCAATACCTAATTGATAACACTTATAAAAACAAAGTCACCACAAGTATTTTTATTGATGAAATACTTTTGTAGCTTTTTTGTTTTGGCTAAGCATTCGATGCGTATTTGGAAAAAAATCCAGTGGAACTATTAAGCATTAATATCATTCGTATAACTTCTCTTGCATAAACTATCCCTGCTAAGAAATCTATCATGGTTTTCAATATTTTGATATAAATTTAGCATTTCGGGAACGTTAAAGCAAAAACTTAATGGAAGATAGCAGTATGAAAGAAAATGTTATAATTTTACCAAATTATGCGTAACAACAAATTCGTGTGAAAAAAAATCAACTCAAAATTCAGTGTACTACAAAAACAGTAAAAGAGAGAAAATTTACATCCGTACAGCTTACAACATAACTATGACCGATACCTATTATCTTCTTTTACGTCCACATAAGCTTTGTGAAATCGTTATAATTTCTTATACATTAATGTACACCAATTCAACACACGCAGGTGTAATAAACCGAGGCGACTCGTTTCGGCGGAAACGCTCGAGATCGAATTCCCTGGCGTTGGCTGAAGGTGATCATCACACCGCAAATGTCAATACTGGGGGACATGGCGGTAGTGCTGCTACTTCTGTTGCTGATGAGAACCACAAGAACGCACCACCCAAGGATGTGACCTCGTATAACGTTGCCCTGCTCGGCTCACGTGGCGTCGGTAAATCCGCCCTCGTCAGCCAGTTCATGTCCAGCGAGGGTATCAACGCTTACGATCACGTACGCCAAAAAGGTGAGCTTTTTTTTGATGATTCATCATCATTATTGCCAACCTGAATTATAGCTAACATTCCTTTTCGGAAAAAAGGTAATATAATAATAAAGTTAAATTCAAGCCCCAACTAAAGTAAGTATCTTTTTTTGCTGATCTGTTAATTTATAAATGACAAGTTTTGAGTAAATTCCATCGTTCTGCTATGAAAAAAATGCTTGTCAGATTGACAAAACATCGAGTAATAATCACAATGTTTGTTGGTGTAGTCATAGAGTGATAAAAAAAATCTGACTTTATTGCGGTTTTTTATCGCAAATATACTTGATGTATTTTTTTATATTTACTTTTTTTTTGGCACTACAAATGGAAATAAATTAATCAATATAATTTCTGTTAGGATGACTTTTCTGAAATTCTTAGGAAATTCATGTGTTACATGGTATTGCTAAGCTATTTTGTTTTTTACGATACTAACAATTATGCTCTTTATTATGTTCGATAAATTCCATAACTTTCTCTACATACTTCTGTATAAATATGTACATGAACTTTGAGCTTCTGAAATGTTCAAGAAGCAGAAACTAGCAGTCAAATCGTTGAATTAAGTTATTATTGATCGGCAACGCGTGATCCCACAACGTCAAGGCAAGCAGTATACAGGCAATAAACGAGGCAATAAATGTCTATGTTTGCATGTAAGCACCAGCCTTACAAGACCGCCTTGCAAAATATTGAAAGGACAAGTGCCTTCCTAATTAAGTAAAAGGAAGAGATACCTGTCTTAGTTTTAAAGATAACCCGACGTATAGTTTGATATTTGATGTTACGGTCGCTACGATTTGGTTGCCTGAATTAGATTCCTTACAAGGATCTAATGTAAAAAAAATTTTAATAATTCTAATGCTATTTTTTCTGTGCCTAATTAACCTCAATAAAACTTTCACGAAAATGAAATTAAAAAAGAATTATCGCCTACTTTAGAGTCTCTTCCCTAATTAACTTTCTTTCCTCGCAGCTACAATTAATTCTAAAACTCCACTGAGTATAGCAATCATGAACTGTTAAAAAAAAACTTTTCAGCGATAAGAAATTTCTTCCAACAGATAAAAAAAAGGTGGCGCATGAAAAATGTATCCTTAGTTAACGAGATAAATAATGAACCTTGTGATGTTTTTAAGGTGGTTCCAGTGGCCTCAATGTTAAAATTATAAATAACCTAACCAAGGTTAATAAAATTGAATTATATTCTTTGAATTCCCATCTTTCTATTCGTATAAAAAAAAATTAAGGTTGACGATGAAAATTGTAAGAAATCATGCTTACAAAATCGTAGTTTTAAGACGGGTTAGATAGGAAATGCAAGCTTCACTTCTTATAATCTTTTTCTCCGCTTCTCTTACTTCCTTCTCTCTTTAGAAGCGTATAGCCAACCCGGCTGGTCCTCCATGAGGTGGTAGGTTTTAGCCAGTAAGAGTCTGGCACTACCTTTCCTGGAAGGTATACCTATGTAAGGTTTCCTACACCACATATATAAAAAAAAAAAAAATGTGAGCTATAATTTCAGGAAAATTTCCTTCTCATTTGATATGCCCAAGTATGGTTTCTATACAAAGTTTTCAAAGTTTTCATAATTCCATCTTCGTATTGTAGGATAACAAACTGGATCCGTAGAATGCATTATTTATTGTTGAAGCTTAATAAAAATCAAATGATGGATTAAAAATGTAATGAAAACATAATTTAATTAGCTTAATAAGTGAAGAGGTGTGAGTAAAGGAGGTGCGCGAAATAATAAAACGAGTATTACAAGTTAGACAAAAGTTTATTTAATAAAACTGCCGACCGACGTAGAACACACCAGATACAATTAACAGACTTTACGGACTTACAACCGACTTATCAAACAAAGACAATAAAGCTAGAACCGACGAGAGGTGTAGAAGGCACGGTTGCTTACACTGCACTGACTACAGGGCCCGCAAGTATTACCTTGCCTGTGGCGCTGTCTTTCACACTATATATACTGCCTATTTAAAAGTCGTACATGCCAACACTTCCTCCCGACTTGAGATAGCTAAGTATATTTGACAAAAATTATAATTTAAAATAGATAAATAGATAAATAAATGTGTGTTCTTGACTCGGCTCCACGGCTCTGGGAATGCACCCAAGTAGTCCATGAGTCGGTCCATGGCTCCTTTATCGCCTATCTGAAACAGAGACAACTTATTAGTTACCAGTCAGAGTCGCAAAAGCTGTTCGCGATTCTGCTAGCAAATTTTTCATGGAGCTCGATCGGTAGAGGTTTTGTGAATATATCGGCCATCTGTTCTTTAGTGTTCAGCCATCTGACGTTTACTCTACCATAATTTACACATTCTTTAACATAATGCTCATGAATTTCTGTCATATGTCTTAATTTACCACTACCTATAATTTTAGCATTTTGCTCAGCCGCCTTATTGTCGCACCATAGATCTGCTGGACACAAAGTATTATTCAGTATGATTTTAATCGAATTATCAACTGCCATCAGTTCTCTACATGCTTCACTCAGTGACACATACTCTGCCTGACATGTTGACAAAGACACATACGTTTGTTTGTGAGTTCTCCATGCCACTGAGTCTCCAAAGATTTTAATTACGTAACCGCTTGTGGTTAGAGACCCTTTGCAATCGCCAAAACTGGCATCGGAGAATGCTTCCAGCCCTTGCTGCCTTCCACAATATCTTAGACCATAAGATTTGGTCCCTGCCAGATACCGAAATACTCTTTTAACCATATTCCAGTCTTCGTTAGTCGGACTTATTTGATGCCTGCTCAGCACATTCACTGCATAACTTATATCCGGACGTACAGTATTGGCAGCATATAATAAGCTCCCAACAGCCTCCCGGTAGGGAACACTTTCAGTCGATCTGGACTCATTCAAGTCAATCTGCCTTTCTGATTGCTCTCTTTGTTTTCTTTGTTGATTTAACACGTGACCTGTGACCATAGGAGTTTTCACTGGCTTAGAATCATCAAACCCAAACTTTTTAAGTATCTTATTTATGTAATTGGTCTGAGTTAAAGTTAGAACTTGGTTTTCTCTGTCTCTTCTGACTTCAATGCCTAAAAACGATTTAACTTCTCCTAGGTCAGTCATTTCAAACTCACTTTGCAGTCTTTCCTTCACAGACTTCAATTTGCCAGAATCATTACTTGCTATAAGCATGTCATCAACATAGAGAACCAATATCAGGATTTTATCTGCCTCATGCCAAGTAAATAGGCAAGGTTCCAAGATGTGAGATCTTAGACCTATTTTCGTTGCTGCCTCAGAGAATCTTTCATGCCATTTTTTCGGACTGACTTTAAGGCCGTAGAGGGCTCTCTGAAGCTTACATACCTTGCTTTGTTTTTCCAGATCGGAACAGACCAAACCTTCTGGTAACTCCATATATATCTCGTCGTCAAGGTTACCATTTAAAAATGCCGTTTTAACGTCAAGCTGACATGTATCTAAATTTAATTTATTGATTACAGCCAAAGCAGTCCTTATTAAAGTCAGTCTTGACACCGGGGCGTAAGTCTCTGTAAGATCATACTCATTTTTATCTTTAAAACCCCGTATTACCAGCCGTGCTTTGTGTTTCTCACATCCTTGAGCATCAACCTTTTTCTTAAGAACCCATCGGGAATCGATGATATTCGGACGTTTACCATTTACCAGTCCTGCAGGTCTGTTTACCAACTTCCAGACTTGATTCTTTGCCATTGAGTCAAGTTCTTCTTGGATGGCTTGATTCCAGCCTTCTTTATCCACAGCCTTCATTGCTTCTTTATATGAAGCTGGATCTTTATTTATTTCTGCCAGCAAAGAGTGGTAAACTAGATCTTCCGCATAAATGGCATTATTTCCTGACGTTTCAGTATCACCGTTCTTAAAAATTAGGTCTTTTGTTAATTCTTCCCCGAGAGCTAAGCCCGCAAAGCTGACGTCCTTTACACGACTTTCTTGGACCAAGTTGGCCTCCATTGTTTCTATCAGTCTTTTCGGCCTTCCTCTTTTCCGTTGTACCACCGGGGGCGCTTCCTCCGATGACACTGTCTCTTCTCTTTCCTTTTCGAATTTTAAAAACCACTCGTCTAATTTAATATTTACAGTCACATTTTCCCAGTTTTTAATTGAATTTTTACCAAAAACGTCTCCATACACAAAACGCTCGTTAAATCTGACGTCCCGACTTTCATAAAACTTTCCTTCGTCCGGACAAAGCAGACGATACCCTGTCGGCGTGTATCCTACCATAACTGCTCGTTTCCCTTTTGCATGGAATTTAGTTTCAGTGTTTCTCTGAACTCTCAAATACGCGATGCAGCCGAATCTTTTCATCTGACTTAGGTCTGTCCTTTTATTCGGAGCCAGCTTCATTAAAGGGATTTCCATGTTATTTGAGCGATGCGGAGTACGATTGTACGCAAATACAGCTGCGTTTAGTGCCAAGTCCCACATGTTTTCCGGGAGTCCCGAATCACATATCAGAGCTCGGACTTTCATTTGAATTGTTTTGTTCAGCCTTTCTGACGTGCCATTATGTTCAGGGGTATCCGGACAACTCAGTTGGAGTTCAGCTCCAAGGTCATTTAATATTTTTCGCACGGAGCCTCCCGTGTACTCGGTACCCTGATCAGACCTCAGATAACACACTTTAGCTTCAAACCCGAGAAGATTTCTACAGCCTTTAACAAAATTATCTAAACATTCACCCGTATCACTTTTGTTTTTCATCGGGTAAGCAATTGCAAATTTGGAATAATCATCAATAAATACCGAAATAAATCTGTATCTTTTTGGGTAAGAGGGTGGATTAATAATTCCCATTGTATCTGAATGAATTATTTGCAGAGGTTGGGATGCTCGTTCGCGTACCGAAGGGAAAGGCAGTTTTTGGGATTTAGTTCTTAAACACACATCACAAGTCTTAATCACATCATCAAATACGGCTTCTTTCAGACTTTTTACTTCCGGA